ACCAGGTCCTCGGGGTGTTGTACGGACCAGTGTGGGGAGGGAGAGCATTGCTGTGGGGAGGTGAGGGATGGCTGCCGGTAATTTGGCCAAAGCTATCCCAGCCGCACGCCACCAGCGGGAGCGGGTGCTACCCCAGGGATGCCCTCGAGGTCAGCTGCATCCCAGACCCAAGTGACTCCCTCTCTCGGTGACGCTGGGTAGAGCCATGTCGGCAGCCTCAGGGCAGAGGCTGGGCCCTCACTGCTGGGGACACCCCGGCACTGAGGAAGCCCGGCCGATGCAGAAGCGCTGCCAAACCCCCCATTTCCTTCTCACTTTGTTTGCAGAGGGGCGAGAAGAGTTAACTCTACAGCCCATCAGCCTCTCCCAGTAACCAGCCCCAGGGACGTATCCTGCTCCCGCAGGGCAGGGACACGGGTAAGAGGGTGAGGGGCGCAGGAGGGCTCACCGTGGCCGCTGTCGAGGAAGTCGGTGATGATGGCAGCGCTGCAGGCTGACCAGGGGTTGGCACGGTCAATCTGGATGAGGGTGGGGGACATCATGTGGTTGGTCTTCAGCCGGCCGAAGACCTCCTCGCAGGCCTTCACGTTGTCGTGGGGCATGTTGAAGACGTGGCCTGGGGGGGGAATAAAGGGGGGGGCAGCATGAATAACCCCACTCGGCACACGGAGTAGGGCCCCCACAGCTTCTTGCAATGGGGGAAACTGAGGCACGGAGTGGGGCAGACCCTTGCAAGGATTGCAATGGCTGTGGACAGCCCAGGAGACACCTGGGGAAGGACGATGCTCATGCACGCCCTGGCTCGGACCGCACGCAGGCACTGGGAGCTTGCAGGACCGGCACACGTGAGCCACCCTGCTGGCAGTGTCCCTGAGCCAGCGAGCTTTCCGGCACTCTGTCCTGGCTGTTTCATGCATGTGGAAAGCACACGGGAAAGGAAGGACAAGGGAAATTGCAAACAGAAGGAGACTTCAGCGCTCGCCCCCCCTCCATCCTCCTCCTCCTCCTCCCACCGAACACCGCAAGTGTCTCCGGAGGTAGGTGTGCCCTCTGCCTGTTATTTCAGGACTCCTGAATCCTGGAAACCCAGCCGAGGTAGCAACCACAACAGCAAAGCCTTTCGCTTTCTCAGCAGCTCTTTCCCACCCGGCTCGGGGGGGGTCTCATCTCCCGAGGTGGAGTTTCCCTGTCACCAGATGCCGGTTATTGTCTGATCTTCCGGAGGTTGAAGCCAGGGTTATTTTGAACCTCGCCGGTTCCTGGCATTCCTCCCGAGAGGACGGGGAGAGCAGGGAGCCTTACCCAGCTCGTGGGCGGTGGTGAAAGCCGAGGGCAGCCCGTCGTCCTCGATGACGGAGCAGCTGCGCTTGGGGTCACACATGGTGCCCACGTCCGCCATCCCCAGCGTGTCGCAGGTGGTGGCACCGCACAGGTCCTGCGAGGCACGGAGGCAAGGGGTTAGTCGCAGGGCCAGCACGGGCATCACAGTTCCCCATCCCCACCCCATCCCCGGTACCCCACAGGGAGCAGATCCCAGGCTGCTGGGGGGAGGCAGCCCAACGGGATGGGGACCACACCAGGCTGCGGAGGCAGGAAACCTCACCCTGACCCCGACCAGGCTGCAACGATGCGTCTGCATTTAACCCTGGCACCGGGGATGCTTTTTGTGCGTAGCATCCTCCCGTGCCTTCAGTGACAGCCTTTCCCACCCGAAGGGCTCCTCTGGCCAGGGTGGAGGCGGTTTTGGCACGGAGGAGTCAGCCTGGCTCCGTCCTTCAGCGCGATCTCGAGGACCGGACCCAGGCGGGTGGACGGGAAGGCACCTGGCCTTGGGCTCACAGCTGAGCCATTTCTCAACCTCATTTCTCAACTTCTTCCGAGGAACAAGAAGCGCCTGGACCAGGCCCAGAGGTTCCCAAGGTTAAGGGAACAGCTCCTGTCTCTCCAAGACAGTTTACAGCCGTCCCTCGAGGAGCAACCAAGCCCAGACTGAAGGAGAAACCAGCCCAGCCTTGCACCCCCAACACAAGGACTGCTGGACCCCAAGTAGATGCAGCTGGGACAGGGGACGGGAAGGGTTCCATCGTAAGTGGATCTGCCCTTCTTCAGAATCCAAAGGCACTCGTGCAAACAAAAAGTCCCTGTTCGAAGATGCACTGCCGCTGCAGCCTAGCAGTAGCCTTGTCCTCAGATGCCCCTTTCCCCTGCTGGGGTCTCTCGGTGGCTTGGGAGGGCTGGAGCATCGTCCCCATCCCTGGGTGCCATCCCAGCCGGGCTGGGAGCTGCAGGGGAGGCTGTGCAGGGGGTAGGGAGCAGCTTTCCACATGAAAACGTAAGGGACTTGCCGGGCGCTCCCATGCTATAAATAATCGTGATTCATGCTCAGCGCTCGCCCAGCCAAAGCGCCTGGGTTGCTCAAAAATCTCGTATGAGCGGCTCTGCCAACATTTCCAGCGAGGTTTCCAAGCTGAAGGCATTCCCATGCAGGCAGGTTCAACCCTGGGTAAATAACAGTCCCGACGACTTCAGAGAGCCCCAGCCAGGGCTGAGATGGCTTTAACAGGAGACCTGCGGCTACGAAGTCTGGAGGCACAGACAAGACCGTGATCTCTGGAGAGGTGAGGCAGAGAAACGCCTGGGTCTGGGCTGGCTATCGCGGCTGGTGGAAAACCCCGTCATGCAACCAGGTTCAGCTCTCTGCTCTGCAACAGTTTTCCGTGTCGGCTGGGACCCTGCCGCATCCCTGATCCCACCGTGCATCGATGCTGGCAGGGACAAGCAGGTGGCAACCCCTCACCCCCAGCGGCAAGGCCACCGCCGGCGAGCGCAGGGTGACTAAATGGGGCTGGCAAACCCCAGCGCAGGGTCCCCTGTCCCAAAATGCCACCAAAGGCCAGTGCCATCGCCACGCTGAGCTAACCCAGGGATGCAGCTTGCCCAAGCCCCCCTGCCCGTGCTCTCCCCCGTGGCAGTCCCAGCGCTGGGAGTTTGGGGGTGAAGGCGGGGCGCGGGGGACACACACACACACACAGCATCACGGGGAAGAGGCGGCCGCTCGCGGCTCCCCACTCTCTGCTCTTTGAAGAGTTGCCATTTCCTCGCTGGCGCGGCGAGCTTTTGGCTCCCGGCCCAACACCTGCACTGACACACTGACCCACTTCTTGCTCTGAACCTCGCCTGCCGGCTGCGGGGATATACGAACGAGCAGCTCTTAACGGGGTTTTCCCTAACCCCCCAGCCACAGCCTCCGAGGGGCAGCCCGCTTTGAAAGGCTGGGCAGCATCCCTGGGCTCTAATGAGGGGTCCTGACCCCCCCCAAAAACACCTCCTCCAGCTTTGCCGGGGGTCCAGCCTGCTCAGGAGGGGAGGCAATGCAAGCAGCGGCACAAGGATGGAGCTACGGAGGGGAGGAGAGAGAAATGCAAGAGGTTTAAGGTGGGAAAGTGGCATGCAAAGGGCCAGCTCTGCCTTTCCACGGTGTGCTCACCGTCACCGATACCCCCTGCTGCCAGCCCAAATAAAGGGAGGACACCCGGTGCCCCTCGCACCACGCCGCGGGGCTGCAAACAACCTGATGCACCATCAGGGCTCTCCTGACAGCCCGACCTTCATCTGTGGGCACTTCTTCATCCCCTTGTGAACTTCTCAAGGTGTTCTGCAGGTCAGTTGGGGAGGATCCTTGTGGCAATTGCATTAATTCGCCTACTCAGAGGCCAGGTCATACGCACTCTCCCAACCGTAGAGGCTTCCCACGTGTGTCCAAAGCAACCCCGAAAAGCTGAGCCTTGAGCAACAGAGCGTGGGTTTCCAAATTCCCCACGGAATCTGCTGCACGCCAGGCTACAGTCAGATGTTCCTTGGCGCGACGTCCCTTCGGTTTTACAGCAGGCCAAAGATGTTCAGCAAACCTTTGCTGGTGGGACGTCAAGGTTAAGGATGGGTGAGAAGCTTGACCGAGCCCTTTGCCGTGGTATGCAACGCTATTTCCAAGAGGCAGGAGTGAGGCTGAAGGCTGGATGCTCTGCAGGACCCTCCAACAAGCACCGGCTCAGGTAGGAAGGTGAAGGTCACACGGCTGGAGTTGCTGGCAGATCTGCAACCACCGGCCGAGAGGGACCGAGCCCCCCAAAGGCAAGTCCGCAATCCAGCACGACCGACGTCGGGAGGGAGCAAAGCCGAGCGGGAGGGGACAGCCCCATTCATCAGCAACTCGTTGACACAACTGGAAACTGCCTATCAACCGGGCTTGAGATGAAATTTAAGTCGGGGGCTAATGTAACAGCTTTTTGGCAGGGAGATAAGCTCCGGGGTGTCAGGGGACCACAGATGGATGCACTCAAGGAAGGCAGATGTCTCCTCAATCGTGTGCCTTTGCACCGAGCTTGCTTTGGGATTTCAGGAATGGATTGTTTAGCAACCTGTAAAAAATGCAGCCCGGCCGTGATCCGCAGCTTTTGAATCGCTGGGACCGAATCCATCCCCTGTGCGGCTCCGGTGACCTCACCGGGTTTCCACCAGAGGTGGAGCTGGCTTGTCCCCGCAGGGGTGTCAGCAGGCTTCCTCCTCTTCGCAGCCGCCCCGTGCAGGCAGGAGCTGCTCCAGCAGGCTGAGGTTCAACCCTGCCTGTGCTCCGGCACGATGTACAGCCGGCCGGAGGACACGGCCCCTGCCCAGGGCGGGGGGGACGGGGAGAATGGGCGGGACGAGGTCTCACACGTCCTGCACAGCATCGTTCCTGCTCCAGGCCATCATCAGCCCGCGCTGACCCCAGGCTAGGGGCGGCTGAACCGAGCTGGACGCTATATCCTTCCCACCCACGAGTGCTTGACCTGGAAAGATGTTTTGGGAACGGTCTCCCTGCTGTTGAGGGGAGTGCCCGACCTGTCCCTAATCCAAAGACGTCTGGGCAGGGATGGGGGAAGGAGAAAACACAAGTTGGTAAAACGTGACGGTCCCCTTCAAGCTGGGCTCGTCCTTCTCCCCTCCCGTTAGCAATTTGGGGGTGCAGGCCGTAACACCCCACAGCCAGGCACCGCACCCATGTCAACGCTGAGACAGAACCGCAGGGAAGAGAAGGAGCATTTGGGGGGAGGCTCCGGGAGCAGTGTCACCACTTCGGTGTCACCCAGTTTATCGGGATGGGAGGATGGAGAGCTCATCCCGGCGCAGCAATCACCCCGCACCCCACGTAGCCAAAAGCGAGCAAAAGGCAGCTCGGCAAAGCCCCTCTCCCACCGCAGGGATGCGGCCAGCTCACGGCAGCGGTGGGGGAGGACTCTGGCCTCCCCCTCCCCAAGGGCTGCAAGCGCTGGCTCTCTCTCTGATGCTTTTCTTCCAGCCCTGAACTGGGTCCACGTGGAGCAGCCAGCGTGCGGAAGAGAGGTCCAGGTTCTCAGGAGGACCATGAGTCAGAGGAAGCGGGGAAAGGGTTTTTTTTTTTTCTTGGCAGGTGGCACCGTGAGCTGTTCCCAGCCGGGGAGGGGGAAGCGGGGCCGCGCTCCTCCTCTTCTGGGCTCGGACCCCGCGTTTCGGGGTGGCGGCCGCTGTGCGCCAGAGCCGCTGGGCACTGGCTGCTGAGGCTCCTGCCAGCAGGCAGGGGATGGAGCGGCAGGTTTCTGCCCGCGGGGACAACCTGCCTTTGCACACCTCCTGGCCTCGCTCACCCCCTGGCAGGGCTTTCTCCGGGCTGCTGGCCAAAACCTCCCCAGAGGACAGCGAGGGCTGGCTCAAGCAGGCTTGCTCCACACCTCTGCTCCCCCCGCCCCGGCATCTGAGGGTGGAGGGTCCCTTGGGAAAGGGGGATCGGCCACAAGCGCAACCTCCTCCAGCGTGCACCGGAGGTGGGGCACAGGTGGCAGGAGGTCTTAGCACGGTGCAGAGCTCCTTGAAATAGGGGACAGCCCCTCTGGGTCATCCCCCCTGCACCCACCTGCTTGGTGAAGAGGATGGCGGTGTCCCAGTACTCGGGGTGCTTGTCGCTGACCTTGTTCCACTTCTTCTGCCAGGCGCAGAAGTTGCGGAGGGTGAGGGCGGCGTTGCCGGTGACCTTGGGCCCCTTGTCATCCTGCCCGATGAGGAGGAACTTGACCACGGAGATCTGGATGGGGTTACGGATGCTGGGGTGCTTGTAGAGGCGGGCGGCCGTGGCCATCAGGGTGAGCAGGTAGTGCTGGAGGTCATCCCCGTGGAACTTCACCATCGACTCGTCGGCCACCACCAAGGTCTCCATGTAACGGGGGACCGAGGCGAAGCGCTTGGCCCGACCCCCTTTCCCCCCCCCACG